GAGCGGTGTCCTTGCGGCGTTTTTCGACATCCAGCGGCATCGCTCCAACAGAACGGTCCTTAACAGTGGCGTTCGGCATTCACGGCGGCCGACGACCTCAGGTACGATTTCCCCCAACGCGCACATCATCCTCGTTTTCGGCTGGTGTAAATCCCTTATTGCAGAAACGCTTACAACAGTTTTTTGTGGCATTCGGCACTTACCCATTGCAGTTTGAAGCCCAATTTACACGACCCACACCCATTCGAGCGTTATCCAAGTTACCCGCACCTAAACGAAGTTGATTTTGTGGTAAAGGGCCTTTCAAACCCTCTTAGAACCGATTTCTATTGTTGAGATCTTGTTTTAATTTGCTGTCTTTTATCTCTTGATGCCTAGGTGTTGAATCGATGCAAGGTTAAAGAGTGTAGTAGTGAGTAAGTAGCACCAAGGGGCGGGTGTGTATGTTAATAGGTGTATTTGACATGGTTTCTTATCGAATTATCTTATTCTTGCATCTCTCATGTATATAAAAATTGTTGGTCATGGTTAAGGTTTTTGTTTTTATGCTATTGATGTGTTACGTTCTTGTTGAAAGTTTGTTTTGAGAATAAATGTGTGTTTTCCCATGATATTAGGTGCTGGAAAATAATTGTTATGTGATGTTGAGATACTCTTGAAGTGGCTTTTCATGTTGTTATGTGTTGGAAAATTCTATTGTTATATGTTTGAACCCTCATGACGTAGTCCTTCAGGATATAAAGTGCTGGAACTTATTTTTCAGATATGTTTGACACTCATTGTGATCGTATATACTAGAAGGTGTGGGAATAATTTGTACGGATTAGTTGGTCGTTATTTTCATAGTTTCTAAGTATAAGAACATCCTAAATCACGAGAATTATTACCATTGTATTGCATATGGTGTAGAAAATGCTAAGATCTTGTTGTTGCAACTTGTGACTATGTAACTCATGTTATCTCTTGGCTTGGACGATTTTCTTGGAGTACTTATTGTGGAAATGAGCTGAACGAGGTCAAATTGTGTGTCATTGTGTTCTGTAATGCATTACTATCCTGTTGGATGACTTTGATGCAGAAACATGCTATGTGGGAATTGGAATGGTATGATAGGAATTTAACAGAGGACCATGACTCGACTGTAGGGGTCTGTCGTGTAATGAGGGGTGGATACACATGAGTGGACCAGCTTTGGGGCAAGTGGTCGAGAATGTTACGTCACTATTGGGTGTCGAGGCCCGGGTACAAAAGGTCGAGAGTCGACAAGAAGGAGGCTTGACCGAGGAATGACCATTTAGGCTGAGTTAACCTTACCTAGGATCATTGAATTGTAGATCGATTGATGTGGCGTTGGTATTTATTGTTAGTAGTGGATTCGTTATTGTTGTTTCTGACGCACTAAAGAATTTTGTTCCTTTCCGTTGAACCTATGTTGTCACTTGTTTGGATTTTCCCATTTATCCTAGATTTATTGGTCAAATAGAATTTACTTATCTTTTTAATAGATTAGCCCACGGAGGGCAAACTTTTTACGTATGAGGTTGAATTGAAATATGGGTCTTCCCTGTGGTTTATCTTTTACTTTTTGGCTTATGCATTCCTTCTAGGAGGGGTTGAACTGAGAAATTTGTTAAGGTTACCTCGGGAGTATCGTTGAAATTTGGGGGTGTTATAAGCTCGATCTCGGTACCCAGAGGATAGCACGGAAGACCATTTGGTGTTGTTCGGAAGATTGAACCATTGAAGAAGAGTTCTTCAAAGGTAAAAGAAAAGTTATTTCCCCTGTATTTTCGTTATTAGATGTTTGATTTTGTTTTCTCAAAAATTGATGAACAAAGATCCGCTTCCGCTCTGTGATTCACATCCCATCAGAGAGACCTTTTGAGGGTGAGTGAGAAACCTTCCAACAGCGCTAGCGAACAAACCTCCGGCTAAGGTATTTGAAAGGAGAAAGACCTTTGAAAGCTGGTAAAGAAACCTTTGGATGCAGCAATATCAAATCTTCGACAAAGCCAGAGGTGGAGAGCAAGAGTAAAGCGTAAACCTTCAGACAAAGTTGTGGAAGAAAGTCGTGAATCTTCGTCGAAGACGGTGCCACCACCACCAATAGTAGATCTAATCTCACGTCATATGAAGGTTCATGGGTCGCCGGAGTCGTGCCACCGGTGGAGAAACTAGGGAACATGATTGGGTTGCCCTTGGATCAGTTGCCAACCGTCGTTGTGGGTCCGTTAATGGGCCACCATGCTCCCTACTCGTTGTTTTGTACACGGTTCTACTTTTTTGTTGGATTCGTTTGCACTCATCGGAGAAGAAATAGATGTGGGAAGGGGTCAGCGGCTAGAGAGGAAAAACACGAATTGAATGACTTATGAGAGAGGGAGAGGGAAACCAATGGAAGAACTGATTTTGGGAGAATTCCATATGTGAGAGAGTTTGGGGAAACCTAAATCTCTTTCTGTAATGAAGCAGGCTCCCAATTTTTAGTTCCTGCATTTTTTTTAAGTAGCTCCGCTTTTCTTTTTTTTTTTTATAGCGTATTTAACCCTTATGCTATAATTAAATGCTATGAAAAGTATTATTTGTTGTAGTGTCAGAGGCTCTAGGCTGAGTTTACCTTAGATATCTTCTCAAATTTGTAACTTGGATGATGATGTAGATGAGAAAACCATTGCTAGATTCGCTCATGCCTATACTATGCAGCTTATCGGTGGTAGCCTCTTCGCCGATAAGTCTAACAACTTGGTGCACACTTGATGTTCCTCCCACTACTATCAGATTTGAGGTAGCTAGACGTTTTAGTTGAGGTGGAGCATGCTTAGCATGATTGTATCGAAATTTGTGCAAAGTGTATCGCTCTGATTCATGTGATATTGTTGGTCAAATTATACTTCTTCAAGTATGAGCTTGGGATCAATTTCCAACAATGGCTCCACAACGTGGCTAAGCTGGTGGGTCGACCATTAGCTATGTAGTATGTCGATATAACTATTGAATTGTTTTACATAATTAATTATTGTGCTGACATCATAAACCATACATTGTTAACCTATAAGATGGAGGATCAATTTTATGTCACAAAAGTATATACAAATATTTTGATTCAATATAGATACATGTTGGACCTCTTGTCACCAAACTCAGTACGTGATATGACAGTCATATAATAAGGAATTTGCAAGCCTACCTGACTACTGTACCAATAGACATGACATATGGTGTACAGTAAGTCCACTTATATGCTTTCATGTAGTTGAGTAACGTCAGCTAGATAAAGTTACAAGACAATTTGGTATGAACCACACAATTCCAAAAGTGCCCAACTAGGAACCAATGATACATGATCTAGACATTCTGGATAACACATGACAGGACCAGATTGCACCTTATGTGGCGAGGTGCCGCATGCGTAGAGATTTTATTATTGTCAATCCTCGAGTGGACAATGATGGTGCTTGCGATCCCGAATACATGAGTTGATATTTATCAATTACTAGGCAATATATCACTAAAAAATGAGCAACGTTTGGTGCTATGGTACGATTATTAATTTGGTTACAGACTATTTGAATTTACATATATATATTTAGTTAATTATTTTTTGCATGTATGATACGTGTTTCGAACAAATAAGTATTCCCTCATCATTAGAAGATATTAATAAGTTGTGAAACAGTAGTGAGAGACATCTTCAAATGCTTTATTATATGTATAGAGTGCCTACGTCTGCTGACGGTCCTCGGCATAGAGGATGTCATCAAGTAGAACATGATGCTCCAATCGAGCTTGACGTTCCTGTACGAACTCCTGGTTCAAACCAGTTTCACACACCACCTTTATCACCATAGTATGGTTATGGAGCCAGCCATAGACATGGACATAGAGCATGGATAATACCTCAACCTTACATAACATGGTTTAATTTTATTTAAACTAACGTTATTTGAAAATAAGTTAAAAAAAAGCATTATTTAAAAAAAGGCCTAAATAATTTCAAAACTACTTGTTTTTTTTTTCTTCTAATTTTTTTTTTAAAATACTCTACTAAAAAAAATTCTCAATTATACGTGATGATGTGGATGGATTACGGCGGGTCCCACGCAGAGAAGAAAGTAGAGTGAGGGTGTATGAGAAAACCCGTGGGGTGCGAAGCATAGGGCAGCCGTAGCAGCCGATCTCAGTCTCTGATTCCCTCTTCTTCCATTTTCCGGCTTTGTTTCTCTATCCTCCCCTGTTTCCTCTCTCTCTAAGGTAAGCTTCTCTCTGATTTTTTATCATTTTTCTTCCTACTTTCAACATACTTGGAGCAGAACAACCAAGTGTTTCTTTTCATCCACTTTTTTGTTCTCTGTGATTGCCTCAGCAGATACTCAGTCTAGGGTTTTTTGACCTTTTGATGCTCCTTTTTTGGAAATTCGTTTTCTTTTTCATTGGTCGAATTATGAGCTCTTGTGGTACTCTAATTTTGAGCTTTAATTTGGGTGTTTTGGGCCTTCTGGTTCTCGATTGGTCGATTTTTTCTATTTTAAGCGTGCATTGCGGCAGAATATGCACTGTTTTTGCTTCAGTTAAATCTCAGTTAATTCTTTTCTTTGAAATACTGGGAATGCCGATCCTCGTTGTCATTCAAGTTTAAATTCTTTGGGTTTTTTTTTTTCCTTGCATTTAGAATGGCAAGAAGTTTCGGGCGAGTTGCTCTTTTAAGTCTCTGGAAATGTTGACTTGAATTATATATATATTTATTTGGGTTATTTTGCTGCAAGCAGTGTAGAATGACAGAACCATCAAAAGTTATCCACGTCCGAAATGTTGGCCATGAAGTATCGGAGGTCCATTCTGTCTCTCTCTCTCTCTCTCTCTCTCTCTCTCAAGCTGGAATTCAATTGATAACTTTGTAATTCAGAATAAACTCTGCAAATGTATATTGGTAATTGAGCTATTGCCACAAACATGTTATTCTGTATGGTTTAAGAATATTTATTTGCATTTTAGTGGGTGAGAGAGTAGTGATAACAAAGAAAATGGCTGGTCCATGCGACAAAATTATGCTGTTGATGTAATTAACACCCATTTGCGGAGGGAATCAAATTATTAGTCTCCATTTTGTCCAACCATCACCATATCAACTATTTGATCATTGTCTGTTTGTTTTTTCTAGCTATCTCTGATGATAAGATTAACGAATATGTATGATTTGGCTTTCCCTCTATAAGTTCCAAAGAAAAGCTCTGATCAGTTGTACCCAACGGATTTCTTCCTCCTTAAAAGGGTGCCCCGACAACAGAGAATGAAGAAATAAATTTAAGTTGGGGCTAGTGTGAAGTGGGGTTTGCCAACCAGAAGTTGAGAGGGCCTTGTTCCAAAAACTAGTAGCATATTTGCAGGAGATGAAAAGATTGCCTTGAGTTTGAGCTTCCTTTAAATAAATATGGTAGCAGCTAGGGAAAAGAGGAATGTGAAGAAGCTTTTTTTGCAGCCAGTCTTGTGTCAATGGCATTGTGATTGAGATGCTAGCAAAAAAAAATTCAATCTTTTTAGGATATTTATCCTTCCAGATTCTGTTGTAGGGAGGTAGTAGCTGTTGGTTATCACTTGTGGTCAGATTGGTGAACACAGATTTGATAGTGTAACCTTTGGATAACCACCTATCCGCTATGGGAAGGAGCGACACTTTGGGGAGCTTTTGTGACTGAAGCAACCAATATTTGATTTCAACATCCATTAAGGGCCTCCTGAAGCTGTAACCCCAAGAGTGACTAAATTTGGACCAAAAATCTGATATTTTGGAGGATTTGTTGGTGGATAGTGTATATATTAAAGAAGAGAGCTGCAAAGGTGTTGGACTCATGCCACTTGTCGTGCCAGAAGATGATGACATTGGCTTTGATAATGTTGATCTGGGAAAGGGTTGATAAATAAGGCTGATTTTTTGTTTTTTTGCTAAGCAAAGCCTTTGACTGGCTTTGGGTCTCAACATCAACTACAACAAATTTGAAGTCTTAGGGATTCTTCTCGACACATATACCATGACCATCATCGCCAAAGCTTGGGGAATAAAATTGGCTCTTGGCCATCCACTTATTTGGAGATTCCTCGAAATGATAACTAAAGAAAAGAGGTTTTTGGCTGCCCATCACTTGAAATATTGGAGAACAAACTTCCAAATGGAGCAATCTCTTCATTAGACTCACCATCATCCAATCCATTCTCTCTAACCTCTCAACGTACTAATTATCCATCTTTCATCTCTCGGGGAAGGCAGCAAAAAGAATCGCAAAGATCCATCTCGACTTTCTCTGGTAAGGCCTAAGCGCAAAAGGTAAGCAACATCTCGTCAAAAGCTTCCCATTCTCTAATGGGGTCTCGATATTGGAAATATTAAGAAGAAAAGTTAGCTCTGTAATCCAAGTGGATTTGTAAGTGATTGACCTTAATAGAGCCATACCTAGAAGAGTATCCGATTACGAGGCCTTTGTTATTCCTTGTAAAAGCAGCCAACTTAGGACATTGATGATCATGATGAAAAGAAAAGAAAAGTTTTTTAATAGATTTATCGAGGACTGTAATAAAAAAAGGGCATACAAAAACAACCCAATAAAAGGAGGAAAAAAAAACTAGCTAACAGAAAGGGCCCAATCAGAATCAAATCTGAAGGATAGTTTCAAAATTCTTTAAAAACATAGATTTAGGTCTGTCGCTTCAATTCGTTCCATATATATATATATATATGATTTATTTGAACAAAGTATCCATTGGAGTATTGGTATGGCTAATGAACTTTTGCCAAACACGAATGGCACAAACCCAATTATTCACGGGAAGCTAATGGCCATGGGAAACTTCTATCTACATTTATAGCAATGTAGTATTGTTACAACCTAGGATGATTCACGAATATATTGTCATTCTTACAAAACAAATGTTCCCTCAATATATATATATATATATATATATATATATTTTGTATCTTTAATTCGTCGACTAGATGGAGTATTTCAAAAGATGCTATTTATTGGAGGGTGGCATTCTTTTGTGATGTTTGCAGTTCCAGTGTTCCAACATTTATTTGTATTATTAACTAGTTAATTTGTATCTTTGTACGTTCTCTCATCTCCCCTAATTTTTAAAAATCTGTATACTTCTTTTACATAATTGCAGAATGATTTACTTCAGCTATTCCAGCCATTTGGTGTCATAACTAAGCTTGTGATGCTTCGTGCTAAAAATCAGGTTCAATTTTACTACGATACAATGACTTGTCTAAGTTTGTCCTATATTTGAGCTAAAGTGGAATCTTCATTGTTTTGTCTTTGTATCATGAATTCAGGCTCTTATGCAGCTGCAAGATGTTCCCTCAGCAGTTAATGCTTTGCAGTTCTTTGCAAATGTTCAGCCAAGCATTAGGTACTATTATGCTATTCAAATTTATCCTTGCATATCTGATTGGTCTTCTTTTTGTAACAGTATAACCTGCAGTGGTATGAAATAATGAAAGTGTATAGTAGGAAGAGTGGAGGGTGCATCTGTTAACTAATTAGGATGCTGTAATATGTGGAGCCCATTGTACTTGACAGTGCTCAAGTAATAGTGTGATCTCAACTAGTACTTGGGGAGGGGGACTATGGGAGGGAGAGGAGTTACTAACTTGTTATTACAATCCCTAAATAGGATTTGTTCTATACGTTGTACTATGGTGGCCTTGAGTTCCAACTTCTAAAGGAGTTAGAGGAGTTGCCTAAATTGTGAGTTAGGAGAGGGGTGAATCATTGCTTGGCTGTGCATCTTTCTTGCTTTGGTAAATAAAGAAAGTTCAATATTGTGGTAATAGAGTTGTACAAGCCTAGGAAATGGTTGGAATTAAAAAGATTGAAGCGAGACTAGATGCACTCAAGGAAAAGATAGTAGGTGTACAAGAATCAATGGAAAAGGAGTTTGTGCATGTTGGAGGAATGAACAAGTTGTTTAAAAAGAAGAGGTGTTGGCTCATTGTAGGAACAGGGTAATAGGGGAAGGCACTTATGCAGCAGTAGCACTTATGTAATTGAAGTGGTGTTGCACTTATGTAGTCTTTCTCTTTCATTTTTTCCTCGATGAAAGTTGGTTTTTCATTAAAAAGAGGGGAAGGCACAGTTTGAAGTGTGCAGACGAAAATGGTGGATGTTGAACTACCAAAGTTTTGTTGCCAAATGATGTGAAATTGAAGAAACTTGAGGTGCTTAAATTTAAAAGGGAATATCTTTAGTATTTGGCTACTTATGAGAATTGAACTAAGGACCTAGAGGCTGGATAGGGCTTACCGGTGTATGCCTACACCAACAGAGCTAAGGATCCATTCTTTGGTGGTTCCATGATGAGAGGGAGAGTCTTTAGTAATAAGGAAAGTTCTTGGGAGGAGGTTTGGGACTTGGCTAAGTTCAATGCCTCCCTTTGGCCTTCTGTCACCCAATTTTAAACCAAAAGTTGCGTTTTACACCGATAATTGAATTGAGTTTTTCAATAAATTTTTTGCTGATTTTTTTGGAAGAAAAATGTATTATTCATCAGTCTACTTGTCTGGATACTTCTAAATAGAATGAGATTGTTGAAAGAAAAAAATAGGCATTTACTTGAAATATCACGTGCTATATAATATTTTCCATGCATGATATGGAATATTTATAGAGGGAAGTTAAAAACTAAGGATAGAGACACCAGAGAGACATACACGAGAAAAGAGAGAAGAAATAAATTCTCAAATTGATTGATCAAAGATGAGGAATAGAGG